TAAAAATATATAAAATTAAACGTAGTGTCTAAAAAGACGTCTCGTCAGTACAGAGCGTGTTCAAATAATATATATTTAATATTTTATTAATTCATATTAAAGCATAATAAAATATAATATTTTGGAATATTTTGTTTTATCAATGATTTTTTCTTTTGTAGAAGGAGCTTGGTAAAATTATTAAATATCATCCCACAACAACAGAAAAACTCATCGAATTATTCAAAGCTGAGCAGATGGCTTATGATAACAGGACAGACGACTCTGTAGCCACTTAAGATGCTGAACAAATTCAAAAAGCATAATTTATAATAGTTTTTCTTTCAAGTTTTATATGGTACATGTAGTATTAAACCAGCATTTTAACATAAACTTAAAATTATATATATTAGAAAGCTTATAAAATTAAATTACGATTATTATATTAAAAAATAAATACATATATCGAAAATTCTATTATATAGTCTAAAACTAATAAAACATTTCACAGGTATTGATACTAGATTTGACAAGGTAAACGAGCATATGCAATATCTATTGATGAAACATGTGCTGAAATATAGGCGGAGAAAGCCTATATATTTTATGAAATACAAGAACATATATGTATTCAATATTAAAGTACATATTAAAATTATTAAATTACATATATAGTATCATAACTCTTATATATACTAACATATATATATCATAACATCATAACCCGTCGAAGGATCGTCAGATTCTAATATGTTTTTTAAAAGAAATATTTACACAACCTTAATTATTTTGTTATAAACCTCGTTAAGATTCTCTGTATTCTTCTATGAGTTAATGTTTTTAAGTTTTTTAATATAGAACATTTCGGCTAACTCTCTCTTCCTTAAGTGTTTTTCCATATGTAAAATGTTAAATTTATTCCAATCGAAATCATGTTCAAATTCAGATTGGTGTTTGCTTATAATTGAATGTGAACTATAATGCAATTTAATATTATTACAATGCTCCTTAACCCGTGTACTAAGATGTCTCTCTGTTTGTCCTATATATGAAGCGAAGCAATTCTTACAGTCAATCTTATAGAAAACATTTGTTGCATTATCATTAAATAAAACATCTTTGCCCACCTATATATTATTTCGTTTTTTTCGGCAATCTATAAACAACATTCATGCCGAATTTCTTTAGAAAATGTGAAATAACATTGCTAAAATTTTCTACATGGTATCAAAATATAAGGCGCTTTCACCTGTAATGTACCTGAATTTTCATCACTATTAGTAGAATTCTTGTTATATTAAAAAAAATTAATTTATTTATATATAAAGCGATTGATTATGTCAATGGGAAAACAGTTATTTCGTAAAATATTTTTAATTGTCAATATATTTTCTTCATGAAACCGTCTATCGGATAATAATATTGCATGGGCCACTAAATTATAAATCGTGTTGATTTTTATTTAAAAGGATGGCAAGAATGAAAATTGATATATTTGCCTGACCACGTAGGCTTCCTAAACTAATTCATTATTAACTTTTTATTATTAACATCTCGACAAACAGTAACATTTAAGAAATTAAGTAACGAATTACATTCTATCTCACAAATGAATTTCAAACGCTCATGGTAATTATTAAATGCAGATAAAACCGCATCTGTTTTTTCGATAGGTATTATGGCAAAGATGTCATCAACATATCTATAGTACACGGGAACTGAAAAATCTAATGAATTCAAACAATATGACTCCAGATCGTCCATTATTATATCCGCTAAAATTGGGGACAACGGTGAGCCCATTGGACTACTATAAATTTGTTCATAACATTGTTTCTCAAACCGAAAACTAGTCGAATCAAGAATAGTTTTAATGACATGTAAGAATTGCGCTAGATTTAATTTGGTATTTTCCGATATATCATCCCATCGTTTTTCAATGCCCTTTATAACCAATTCCTTCGGGATGTTAGTAAAGAGCGAAGTGACATCAAAAGAAATCATTATTTCTGAATCCTTAATCAATTTGTCTTGAATGTTTATGGAGAAAGACCAACCATCCTTGATATGTGAGTCTGGTTTCTTAATGGAGCATTGTATGTTATAGATGTAATTTGCTAAATTATAAAAAGGGCTATCAAGTGAGGAAACAATAATACGCAATGGAAAACCGCTCTTATAAATTTTAGGGAGTCCATAACAACGTGGTAAATTGCCGTTTGTATAATTTAAATGCTTATAAGTCATCTCATCAATGAGATCATTAGAACGCCATGATTTTAACAATAAATTCAATTTATTAGTTAGAAGTTTAATAGGATCCTTCTTAAATTTCTCATAAATGTGAGGATCATTAAATAAAACATGCATTTTTTGTAAATTCGTTCTATCCATAATCACAGTTATTTGTCCCTTATCTGCTCGAGTGATTAAAATATCATTATGTGTTTTAAAGTACTACATAACACAAGTGCACGCTTCGCGCGCGCCAAACAAATTTTTAAATTATTACGCATAATAGAAATTCAAGAATACTTATGTACTGTACATAGTAAAAATTCGGCAAATAACAATTTAAAACACAATGAAAATTTAAGAATAAAATTATATACATATAGAAATTCAGCGAATTAAAATTATTTACATAAATGAAATACGACAAATTAAATTATATACATAATAAAAATTGGGAAAATTAAAATTATTTAGATAAAAGAAATACGGTGAATTAAAATTATGTATAAATTTAACGTATAAGACAGGCAATAAGAGCCAAATCGCGGATGACAGTGCGTTATCCTAACGAAACTAAATTTTTTCGTTAGAATTAGATACCTGTGCACAAGGCACCAAATTTTACTTGGACACGGCCAAGATTTAAAATTGGAATAATCTCTACAAGAGATTTAATTCCATACATCCCCTCTTCCCCCCTCTTCCCGGCAAGCGAAAGGTCTCGGGTTCGATTCCCCATTCAGCGACTTTCGGATCTATATTTTTCTCTTACATTTATTTCCTTAGGGGGGAAGAGGGGATGTATGGAATTAAATCTCTTGTAGAGATTATTCTAATTTTAAATCTTGGCCGTGTCCAAGTAAAATTTGGTGTCTTGTGCACAGGTATCTAATTCTAACGAAAAAATTTAGTTTCGTTAGGATAACGCACTGTCATCCACAATTTGGCTTTTATTGCCTGTCTTATACGTTAAATTTATATTTATATTACAGAGCCTTGTTAAACTCTTAATTTAAAATTATGTACTTAATAGAAATTAGAAATTCAATGAATTAAAATTATGTACATAATAGAAATTTGGAAATTAAAATTATGTACGTAATAAAAATCCAGAAATAAAAATTACACAATAAAAATTTGACACAAAAATTATGAACAAAATAGAAATTCACGAATAAAAATTGCGTACATAATAGAAATAAGATAATTAAAATTTTGTACATAATAAAAATTCGGTGAATTAAAATTATGTACATTACGGAAATTCGGCAAATTAAAATTATGTACATAATAAAATTTCGGCGAATTAAAATAAAAATAACGCTTCTCTGTCGCAATAGCCCACCGGTGCAAAAAGCTACTAAATGTATATATTATTATAATATATATTATTTATTGCCTATATAAGCAATATAATATATTATAATAATATATATATGTGGGATTTGAAAAGGAAACAATTGTATCTATGCGAATTCGGGCATTGAACCCCACTTGTTACGGGTGTGAATTTAGGTATGTAAGGCGCGATCATAACAGCGCATGCAGCGAGCACTAAACAAAATAATAAGAGGACCCGCGAACAAGGTGACGAGTGAGCAAGCATGTAATCTCCGAAACTTTGTAAATGAGATCCGAAATACATTCAGATTGAAATCATAAAGAGTGTCTCTGTTCGAATCATAAATTATGATGCCACGGAAGATCAAGTGGAGTCCAAAATTCTTTAAGAGGGCACACTGAAAGATGGAAATAAATCCGATGGAAAAGACGAATCACAAATGCTCCGAATAGGGCGAAGGAAAGGCGAAACCAAGGCTAAAAGAGGCCCGGGAAGACGACCCAAAAGGATAAGACAGGGACTAAGGAAAATGGAAACACCTGAGACGAAAGCAGATATTGAGAGGCACTCCAGAAAAGACTGCCCTACGGAGTATCAGAAGATGACGGCGGCAGGGATCGAGAACCTCGAGATGGAAAAGCTCGAAGAAATAGATGGTAGTTCGAGTAAATCAGGGATCGAAAGCTGCAGGGATCCTTGAGTGGAAAAATGAAGAACCACATTATAGGCATCAAAAGTGCAGTCAGAGTGCTAGTTAACAAAGCGGAAGCGTCAGGAGATCCCGGCTTCTGGAGAGCTAGACAAATCCAGCAATTACTAAGGAGTTGCAAGATCACAAGAAAGAAGAAAATGGATGCATAAGAAGGAGATAGGAAGATGCAAATAAAAATATCAAGAAATTGAAAGAATTCCGCGGGTTCGAAAAAACGAACGACTCAAGAAAAGAGAAGAACAATAAGCAAATAAAGAGTGAAATATCAAAGAAATGTTCACCAGTGCAACAAGATATGATCAGCTGACACCGGCATAGTGAGGGCTCTGATGGAGGGGCTCAACGATCAGTTGCCGAGGACGACGACGACGAGATGGCAGAAATGACGACTATTTGAGCGACGAGATATACGACGAGACAAATGCCGATTAGTCCAGAGGAAGCATAGATATAGAACGCGAAAAGACAGAAGAGAAAGAGAAAAGAAAAGCTACATACAGCGAGATATCAAAGGCAAGACTAAACAAATGCCCAAAGTTAAAAACAACGTACAGATAATGCCACCAAGAGTAGAAAGCGAGATGACGGAAGAAGAAGAGGGATCAAAATCTAGAGAAGGATGGACAAAAATAGAGAGAAAGAAAAGAAAGGAAGGAGACCTGAAAATAAAAATATTAGTGTACCTGTAAGAAAAGAAACATCCCAACCCTGCAACAAAGGACAGTACATGGGATGCAACATGCAGGGAACTCGTCTCAACCCTGCCAACAGAGGGCAGTACAAGAGACGAGAAAGGAGAGAGGAATGCCCCCACCCCGCCAACCAGGGACGGTACAGGGGACCGAAAAAGGAACAAGGCGCAGAAGACCTCCGAGAACTGCGGCCGTAGCTATCAAAGGATTTGATGAGAAATTCTCATATGCACAAGCCCTAAGGATAGCCCAAGAAAAAATAGAACTGTCGGACCTGAAGATTTATAAATCTAGAGTAAGGAAAGCAGCAAACGGAGGCGTGATTGTGGAGATACCTGGTCCACAAGGATCCGACAAAGCGGACAACCTCGCTAAGAAACTTAGCGAAGTCATGAGTGGATACGCGGAAGTAACGCGGCCCACAATTAAAGGGGAGATCATCATATCTGGATTCGATGAATCGGTGACTGCAGACGACATCTTCGAATTAGTGTCGAGGTTAGGCGGATGCAGAAACGAGCAGATCAAAGTTGGTGCTATTAGGAGGCTGCCCAATGGAAACAACATGGTGTGGGTGCAATGCCCAGTGGACGCGGCAATCCTGGTAGCCGAGAAGAAGAGACTGAGGATCAGGTGGACTACAGCTCGGGTGGAAATGTTACAAAAACGGCCCACCCAATGCTACAAGTGTTGGCGGAAAGGGCACATACGCAATAATTGTCCATTTAAGGAAGATTATAGCAAGGTGTGCTTTAGATGTGGCGGCAACGACCACCCTGTAAAAATATGCACAGCCGACATCAAATGCAGAGTGTGCGCAGACAAAAACCTAAGCGCCAATCATCGAGTTGGATCCAACAAATGCAGCCTGGACCAAGACGAAAGGAGAGAGAGTATACGAAAGGAAACCCAGCAAGAGCCGGATCGGAGAGTAGCGGCTCCACCTGTGTCGCAGGATGATTACAGCACTACAATGTAACTTGAACCACAGCTGGGGAGCTCAAGATATGATGTCTCAGCATGTACTTGAAAAGGGAATAGGCATCTGCCTAATATCTGAGCCCAGACACACACCGGACTCTCAGTTGTGGTTCACTAGTAACAACCGAAAGGCAGCGATACATTGGAGACCCGAACATTTAAAAAGGATCTGCACACTGATCGGCAAAGGAGAAAATTTCGTCGCAGTCAAATGCAACGATATAAACTTCATATCGTGCTATATATCGCCAAACATCGACCACGGAGAATTCCTAGAAGCCCTAGATGAGTTAGGTGAAATAGCACAACGAATAGGCTCAGACCTCGTAATTGGAGGAGACTTCAACGGAAAGTCCATCCAATGGGGCTCCTCATACACCAACAGAAGGGGAAAGCTGATAGAAGAATGGGCGGCAGAACAAGACCTAAGGCTCGTGAATATCGGCAATACTCCAACGTGCGTGAGGCAACAGGGCACCTCAGTAGTCGATCTTACGTGGACAACAGCAGACCAGATATCGAACATCTGTAACTGGAAAGTGGAAACCGATATTGAAAGTCTCTCCGACCACCGGTATATCACATTTGAGATCGGCAAAGAACCACTAACACAACGCAAAGGTAAACGCGAAAGAAAGTGGAACTTTGCGAAGATGGATGTCGAGATGCTACAGGCCTCACTAGACTGGGCATGCTCTGTCGGCATGGCAGAAGAAGAAATGACCAACACTAACGGATGGTACCGGTGGACGGAGAGAGTAATGCGAGAAGCATGTGACGCCTCAACACCTAGGTGTAAACAGGCCACGCCTAAGAAGAAAGCCTACTGGTGGAATGAGCAAATCGCACACTTAAGATCTGAGTGCAACAAGAACAGAAGAGCTTGGACCAGGAGCAAGAAGTGGAACCAGCCCGAAGAGACAGCAACAAGAGAAAGAGCGTACAAAACATCAAAAAGCGCTCTACGCAAGGAAATCAACAAAGCCAAGTCTGATGCGTGGCAGGAGCTTGTTGAAGTAGTGGATTCTGACCCATGGGGCCTGCCGTACAAAGTGGTATTGGGAAAGCTGAGAAGAGCTTCACCGGGACTCTCAGAAATACTGGAAGAAGGAGAACTCAATATTCTTCTAAATAAGTTGTTTCCGATGGGTCAAACACATGACCCAAAAGAAGAATGGAAAGACTTCCAGTGGAATGAAGAAGACCACGTAAGACTAAAAGAAGTCAGAGAGTCCATTAAAGACTGTGGTGGCAACAATGTGGCCCCAGGGCTTGACGGAATTAAGGCGATAGCTTGGAAAAACATACCCAAGCAAATGCTCGCTAGGCTGACGCAATGTTTCGACATGTGCCTGAGTGAAGGGAAGTTTCCAGAAAATTGGAAAAAAGCACGTTTGGTGCTAATACCCAAGGCACAGACAAGCGAACCTGGTCCACCTAAAGCAAGACCCATCTGCCTATTAAATGAAGTGGGCAAAATATTTGAGCGCGTGCTGGTGAGGCGTATAGCAAATTGGATGAAGGATGAACAAGACGCACAACTATCCCCCGTCCAGTACGGATTTAGAGAAAAACGATCCACTTGCGACGCGCTAATGAGAGTGAAGGAGATCATCAAGGAACGCACTGGAAATGGATGTGTAGCAATTGCAATAGCAATTGACATAGAAAACGCGTTCAACTCGATACCATGGCCGATCATCCGGAACGCCATGAGAAGGAAGAGATTCCCAGAATACCTATGTCGAATAATAGATGAATACCTCAACAATCGTAGCATAGAGTATAAGACACAAAAAGGAGAAACGAAACAAAGACCGGTCACAGCCGGAGTCCCACAGGGTTCCGTACTGGGGCCGGTGTTATGGAACATCGGATACGACAGTGTACTCGAAGCGAACCTAGAACCGGGATGCCATCTATCATGCTACGCCGACGATACGCTGGTGATAGCAACGGCGCAAGATGTGGAAACAGCGATCACCAAGGCAAACATCCAAGTGGCCCGAGTGGTGAAGAAGATCAAAGAGCTTGGTTTAGTGGTTGCAGCGAATAAGACCGAAGCTGCAATCTTCTACAAGAAGGACAAACCGAGAAACATACCGGATATAATGGTAGAGAGAGAGGTCGTCAAAGTTGGTGGATCGCTCAAATACTTAGGCGTGATATTGGACAGCCGCCTGAACTTTAAAGACCACTTCACATATATCGAAGGTAAGGCGAGCAAGGTTCTTAGATCCCTAGGCAGACTGATGCCAAATCTTAGAGGACCGTCAGAGGCTAAGAGAAGGCTATTCGCAAATGTCATCATGTCGATACTCACATATGGTGCACCTGTATGGAGCGACGCCTTAATGGCGAACAAAAAGATTCAGCTGCCCTTCCGGCGGCTTCAAAGGACACTGGCAATCAGAGTTATAGCGGCCTACAGGACAACGTCATATGACGCAGCTACTCTACTCTCCAGGATCATGCCACTATATCTCGTAGCAGCATCAAGGAAGAGAGCATACCTCAGAATCCGGGACCTCCGAAGCTGCGAAAATTGGAGCGCCGAGGAGGAAGCGGAAATAAAGAGAAATGAAGACTTCATAACAAGGAGACAATGGGAACTGCATCTCAACAACCCAAGCAACCCAGGAACGAGGACAAGAGACGCCATAATGCCCATGTACACCAAATGGCTCGATAGGAAGAGAGGGCACCTGACATTCCACCTGTCACAGATAATGACAGGGCATGGATGTTTCAATAGCTACTTATACAGGATTGGCAAAGCGGACACACCGATCTGCGCCCATTGTAGAGATGAAGTCGATACAGCCGAACACACGGTACAGCGCTGCATGACCTGGACCGCGGAAAGGCAAGACTTGATAGACCACATAGGAGAGGATCTTCAATTCTCAACCATCATAACGAGGATGCTGGAGAAAGAAGAGTCTTGGAAGGCGATGATCCGGTTCGCTGAATCGGTCATGCGCGCCAAGGAAGAGGCGGAGAGAGAGAGGCAGAGGAGGCCTGATGGGGATGCTACCCCATCGATCCCGGGCAGCACCTAACCAGGTGCTCGGAAGCGAGGGGGTGGAGAGAGAATAATAATGCTTCTGATACCTAGTATCAGATAGCATAGATAGAAGGAGAACCCACGCACACTTGGGAAGGAGTCGTGTGAATGCACACACACACATACACACAATACACTCTATACACACACACATACTGACAAGCACGCACACGCAAACACAAACATAAAGAAACTAGCACAAATCAAACTACATACACACACACAAATCACTCACACGATCCATACGGAACTGAGGGATTACTTACTTATTTTAGGGTAGGGGGGATATCTGGGGGGGGGGTAGGACGGGTATTCTGGGGGGGGACTTATATGGGGGAAGGACGGGGTATATGGGATGGGGGGTAGGACGGGTGTTCTGGGGATATGGTAGGGAGGTTGGGCTGGGGAAGGAGAGTGGGGGGAAGGGGGGATGGGGTGGGCGCGTCTGGGTGGGCCGTGGGGAGGGGAAACGGGTGGGAACACTCACACGCGCAATCACACACACACACGCTCACACACGCGTATACAAACTAAACAGGGAGGGAAATTAAGGGGGGAGGGTCTTCTAGGGGTTTGTTCCGTCGAGGAAGACTGCCGGAAGGAGAGCGCAAACGCGCAAGGTGGCCGGGATCATGGTAGCATGCTTAGGCGGATCCCAGATCCCGACCGACAGCCTGAGGGAATGCCCTCGGTTGACAGGCGGAGGTTTAGTGGGTAGGACTAATCGGGGCTGTTGCCCGGGTTGGGACCCCCTTGCAGTCGAGTCATCTCGGTGGCTCGAATGTACGGGGAGACCAACTCGGGCGAGGTGCCTCGATTAGGCGAGTCCCACATAACCCGGTGGGGACGGCCCCACTGGGTATGCGTAAATGCATTCCTCCGCCTTGCGCCGATCGCAAAAAAAAAAAAAAAAAAAAAAAAAAAAAAAAAAAGGGGGAAGAGGGGATGTATGGAATTAAATCTCTTGTAGAGATTATTCTAATTTTAAATCTTGGCCGTGTCCAAGTAAAATTTGGTGTCTTGTGCACAGGTATCTAATTCTAACGAAAAAATTTAGTTTCGTTAGGATAACGCACTGTCATCCACAATTTGGCTTTTATTGCCTGTCTTATACGTTAAATTTATATTTATATTACAGAGCCTTGTTAAACTCTTAATTTAAAATTATGTACTTAATAGAAATTAGAAATTCAATGAATTAAAATTATGTACATAATAGAAATTTGGAAATTAAAATTATGTACGTAATAAAAATCCAGAAATAAAAATTATGTACACAATAAAAATTTGACAAATTAAAATTATGAACAAAATAGAAATTCACGAATAAAAATTGCGTACATAATAGAAATAAGATAATTAAAATTTTGTACATAATAAAAATTCGGTGAATTAAAATTATGTACATTACGGAAATTCGGCAAATTAAAATTATGTACATAATAAAATTTCGGCGAATTAAAATAAAAATAACGCTTCTCTGTCGCAATAGCCCACAACGGTGCAAAAAGTAAGTACTAAATGTATATATTATTATAATATATATTATTTATTGCCTATATAAACAATAAATAATATATTATTAATAATATATATATGTGGGATTTGAAAAGGAAACAATTGTATCTATGCGAATTCGGGCATTGGACCCCACTTGTTACGGGTGTGAATTTAGGTATGTAAGGCGCGATCATAACAGCGCATGCAGCGAGCACTAAACAAAAATAAATAAGAGTATAGACCCGCGAACAAGGTGACGAGTGAGCAAGCATGTAATCTCCGAAACTTTGTAAATGAGATCCGAAATACATTCAGATTGAAATCATAAAGAGTGTCTCTGTTAGAATCCTATAAATTATTGGGGGCTCGTCCGTGCCAAAACGAGTCGAAGAGAAAGTGTTAATGAGTGCCCGAAAGGAAGAGCGGAAAGC